GATTCTGGCCGGAGTTTGGGGGACTTGCTTCCCGGTCGACTGGCGGATCTTAATTGGCCGGAGATATGCCCTCTCTCTCTGTTTTGTCATCGATTGGCCACCTCTCTGGTTGTTTCCGTTGTTCTGGTGGAGCATTGGTGGGTTGGGTTTTGGGCGTCGGGCTTGCTGTGACTTTTGGTGGTGCGCGGTCTGTCGTCGGGAGAGGCCGTGGCTGTTGCGGTGGCCGGGGTTGAGGAACCGAGCTATTCTTATCCTTTCCCTTTCGGCTAGTGGTGTTAGGCGAAGCGGGTCCTGGTTCAATTGAGCTTGTCTAGTGGTGTTAGACGGGTTCGAGCCAGGGTTGGTGTGGGGGCGGTTTGTTTTCCTCTCGGTGGGTGATGGGTCGACTCGGGGATTGGTATGAGGCTCGATGTTGACTAATGTATAGGCATTAGGCAGTTACGGTAGTCTTCCATCGGGTTTGGTATCCGTCTTCTGTCGATTGTTCACTGGTGGCTGTGTCTGATCGATTGCCGGGGAAGGGCCTTTTATATTTGTTTAGGTTTGTTGTCTAGTGCTTGTGTTGTCTCAGCTTGTGTTTTGGGTTTGGGCCACTTAGTCTGTGTTGTTTCTCGTTTAGTATTTTTGGTTTGGGCCGTTGGCCCCTGTTTTGTGTTATCCCAATTGTGTTCGGGTATTCTCCCGTGGGGAGCGTTCCATATTCTCCTATGGAGAGCTTTGTGTTTCTTTGTTTATGTTGTAGTTTTGGTTGTGTTTGAGTCTTGTTTTAGTTTCTAGCTTGGCTAGCTGCGGATCTAGGCGGTCTCGTACATGTCATTTCACTTTATTCAGCCATTAGTTGTATCTCTCAGCTATGGTTGTATTTTGCACGTTTGTGCGTTTGGATATATAATATTTATATCGTTTCGTAAAAAAAAAAAGAAGGAAGCATGTGTGGTATTATGATTTTCTAAATATTATAAGGGCATCCACATTGGTTTAACATTTTTCTCATTCATTCAATCAAAAAGTTATACTATCTCTCATCCACATCATTTTTCCACTAAATCTCTCTCCATTTAAACACACACTCACATTCATACTCAATCATTTAAATACATATGTGGGACCCATTATCCACTCATTCAATATAATTTTTTATATTCTATCCACAATAATAATAAATTTTAATACTTTTAAATTATAACAATAAATGTTAAATACATGAAAATAAAAAAAAACACTACAAGACCAAAATAACATAAATTAAAATTACACAAGAAAAAAAATAGTACAACTACAAAAAAAATATTTTTTTAGTTGTTGGCAAAATGAATCCAAATATGCTCAACTAAATCTATATTGTGGAATGTGATATAGATAAAAAATTAATTAAATATAAAAACAAAAAGAAAAAAAATTAAATAAAAATGATTTAAAAAAATAATAAAGAAAGCAATAAAGAAACAAAAAAAAAAAATAGAGCATTGAACGCCAAAATGATAAATAAAAAATGATTTTAAATCAAAAAATAATAAATAAAGCAATAAAGAAAACAAAAAAAGAAATAAAGCATTGAACGCCAAAAAGAAAAAAAAAATTAAATAAAAAATGATTTTGAAATTGAAACAAAACAATAAAAAAGAAAAATAAAGAAAAAAAAAACTCAAGGCATTGAACGCGTTCAGCAGAGTGAACGCTTAGTGGGCCCCCCCTTTTAACGGATGAGCCACATCCGTATTAACATGCGGGGGGCGTTTAAACGGCCCAAGAAAAGAACCGATGCAGATGCTCTAAGTTGGTAATGGAAAAACTTATGTGTATTTTTAAAAGAAAAAACTCCAATGACAAGCCCATAATACTCCACGGCCCAACCCTACCACCAGCCCGCTTACCCATTTAGAACTGTTCGCCAATTTGGAAATTGATTTGAATCACTATCTATAACCAACTCCTCTGTTGCATCGACGGGAACAAACATGAAAAGGAACAAAATTGTGCAGAAAAAAAAAAATAAAAAAATAAAAAACATCACTTGTTCGCGCTCATATGCATAAAATTTACACGCACAATGTTCACATTATCATGGTGTTGATCCCCCGTAAATGAATTAAGTTTTTTGTTTGCTCGCTTCAAATTTGTTCATCCTGCTTTTCCATGTAAATCTTCAGCTGGTGTTTAGTACAATTTTTTTGTTTGGTTGGTCAAATCGGATGTGTTTGAAAGGGATTTTGTGTGGAATCTGGAGAAGATAATGAGATTGAATTGTAGGGAGAGGGGCGATAAA